CTGGCCGGCTGCATGCCCTCCTAACCCCAGGGTGCTGTTCTGTTCTGTGGAGTCACAGTGGGACCACACATTCCTGGAAAAAGTCTAAATTCCAGGCTAAGGTTTAGTGCGCTCCGTCAGTGTATTTCCACTGTCTTGCCTCTGAGCACCATGGGTGTGCCGGGGATGTGGGGCAAACCTGTTGGGCTAGCAGAGTGACTTGCAGCGATAGCTCCCCTGATCTGGCCCCACTGACAAGGCAGACGCAGAGCCCTGGCAATGCCAGGAGACAGGCAAGGATGACAAACTGCATTAGCCTGAGACTTGTGTTGCAGGCGCTCGACCCATGTGAGAATGTTCCTTTGCACATCCACAAAAGATGTCAGTCAGTTGAGCCGTGTCAGCCCTGCACATGCCCTGGGGTCCTGGGGGTTGATCTGGAGTTGTGTGTAGATATATCGATTGGTCCAGGCCTGCTATTTTGGAGTGGCTCAGAACAGCTCGACCCACCGAGGCATTTTGGTCTGGAAAATCATGCTTTGAAATAGCAGACATTGTACTTAAGTTGGCCACATAGCTGCTGCTTGAGCGCTCTGCTTCCCTGTGGGCTGGAACGGGGCCGAACCCTGGCACAGCGTTGGCATGGCTAGGGCTGCTGTGGCTGTGATGCGTGCCGCCCTGTGGCAACCCAATTACAGAGCCCAGACGAAACGGGGCCACAATTAGCTTCACAGAGCCTGTCACGATGTGAGAACGAAAACAACGTCCAGGCAAGTTGGAACACCGTGAAACCTAGGGCAATGAGAACAGCTGCCTCCGTGGCGGGAAGAGCCTGTCCCATCGGCACTGCGCTGTGCTGCTCAGAAGTGAGTGTCCTTCACTAAGCAGAACACTGGGCACCAAGCACTCCCCCAGTCTCTATCACTGACTCACTTTGTGGCCTTGGCCAGGTCAGTTAATCTCTGTCCCATGTCTGTACAATGGAGATTAGCCTCAGACCAATCACTGGCCACGCAGGGAAGTGCGGAGGATTTGCACTGGTACAGTGTACGGAGGATCCTCAGGGGATGTCTGCACTGGCGCTGGGACTGAGCCTCCCAACTTGGGCAGATCGCCTCACATGAACGTGGCTTGCACTAACACGCTAAAAACAGCAGCATGGACACTGCAGTTTGGGCGGCTGCTTGGGCTAGCCCCGAGCTCAGACTTAGGGGGTCGGGTGAGCTGGAGAGTCCGAGCTGCAACGTCCACACGGCTATTTGTGGTGCACTAACTCGTGTCTGGGACGCTCGCTCGCACTGCAGGATGGCCATCCCGGAGCGTTCACAATGCCAGAGACTGCGGCATAAGCCCGGGTTAGCTAGTCTATCTTTGGATTTAGATTGCTGAAAGACGCACGCCCATTGCCTAAGGCCCTAGGGGCATCCACAATCATTCAAAACTACAGTTCATCACCTTGCACCTTCCACATGGTCCTGCCTACAACTGGCTGTGAAAAAGCCATTCCTGAACTTTACAGCTATAGAACGTAGAAACTCAGAGGCAGCTTCTCCAACCGGTAACCTGAGCCAAAAGCCTTAACGTCCTGCCCACATGGCCAGCCTCAGGCAAAGGCCTCGCACCACGCCCAAGGTTAGCAAACGGGGGCTCTGGGGGGTCAGCAGGGAAGCAAGAGGCAGAGTCAAGGGGCCTCTGTTGAGAATGGCCTGTCAGCAGCTGCCAGATGTTCACATCTAGGGTCTGAGAGCAGGAGCACCTCGGCTGACCTTGGAGGCGCAGGGGACAGAGGCGGTAGTTAGAGCCCGAACCATATAAGGCCATAAAGCTCCTCTGGGAGACTTTCTGTGCTGAAAGGCCTGGGGCTGAATTGTAGTGGGGCCCCACTGAGAAGCAGAAATTGGTTCTGTGAGGGGCGAGAGAGGAGGAGTCCTTTAGCACCTGATGTTTTCTGAGCGCTCTACAATCGGGATATTCAGCAGCAGGCCGGGCCGTAAGGCCAGAGGGGACAGATGAAACTGCAAGAGGACTCACGACAAAGCTCTGATTGCACTTGGGGGGCAGAGCTCAACCGCCTGGGGCTCACTTGGGGTCTATGTCTTAGGTTGGCTCATGCTTCAGCATTTCAGCCAGCCACCGGCAGGGGTCAGGAAGGGATCCCTCCCAGGGGATTCTGGCGGAGGAGGGTTGAGCTCCTTCCTCTGAAGCATCACAGGAATAGGGATGGCTCTGGCTGGAGCTGGGACATTGGATGGGCAGGGCCAGGGCTCTGGGGTGGCACTGAGCCGTCTGTCTCTCAGGGGCTGGGCTGGCTGGTTCTTGCTCGTGTGCTCAGGGTCTAACTGGTCACCATGTGTGGGGTCAGGCAGGAATTTTCCCCCAGGTCAGACCGGCAGGTCACCTTCCTCTGCAGCGTGGGGTGCGGGTCACTTGCCTGGATTATCTGGGTGTATCTCACAATAATTCCCCTGCCCCTGCGAGGCCTCGGGCGCATCTCGACCCCTCCTATTCTCGGCCTGTGGCACAGCCTAGCGTCCTGCGGTCTCATTTCGGCTGGTGGGGCTAGTGGCCTGCGCACTACAGGAGCTCAGACTAGAGGATCTCGTCCCTTCGCCTTGTGGGCTCCAGCCCACGTGTTTGTGCCAAATCACAGTCTGGTGGGGGGAAGGCCTGTGTACAATCCTTTATAGCCAATAAATACAAAATGAAATGAAAATATTGGCGAGGGTCTGAGTGCCGCTGCGCTCTGCCTGCTGGAAGCCAGCCACCCCCGCTGCCTGGGTTGCTATGCAGGTTCCTTTAGGGCACAAACACCACTAGTTTGGGCAGGAATAAGCTTGTATTAGCTGGTGAGGGTTTGTATGAACCCAGATCTGCCACTCGAGCTTCTACGTGCTTGGAAAAGAGGCCAGGCCTCCCCCAAACCTTATGGAGGAAAAGGGCTGCCTCCGCCCCACCTATCTGAAGGCTGTTTCTGTTTTTCATCCCCAAACGAGTTACACTTCATTTTTAATAGAGCCCTGTAATATTAACCCTTTGCTGCCTCCTCTTGCACTCCAGCACAGGCACAAACAGCACAGAGCCAGCACCTCAGCTTTGGGCTTTGTGAATTTCTGAGGTGTGGCGCAGGTCCAGGGAGCCCACTGGTTCTGACTGGGAGTTTTGCCGTCGCCCTAGCGGGCGCTGGACTAAGACTTTCGATTGCAGAGAGAAGCATAGAAAAGGTATGTGCAAAACTTTGGAATGCAGAAACTTTTAAGAAAATGACGATTCAGCCACTGATTCTGCAGAAGTGGCCAAGTTGGGCGTCCTTCCAGTTCTGTCGAACACACAGCTCTCTGGGAACGTCCCCCCATCCCAAAAGACCTTGCACTGGGACAACTTCCTCCAGTCAAGCAGAGGCAGGTGAAGACAAAAGCAGGGCCACTCCTTGCCTCGACAGCAATCCCAGCTCACGTCTGGGCTTCAGAGGGATTTTGCTCCCTCTGCCTCCTCGAGTCAGCGGAGCAAATAGGAACTTGTTTCAATGAAAGAAGTTCAGTTGCTTTTCCATAGTCCTCTGCTTGTGACATCCTTCTGCAGCACCCCTGGTGAACTAGTCTCTTACCATCTAATCACAATTAATGATAAAGTAGGGAATCTTTCTCCAGCCCAACCGGTATCTACAGACACTGAATGGGGGAATCACAACAGTCTCAGATTTTTTCTATTCTTATTGCAAATTGCAAAGGACTATCTTGGTTTCAAGCAAGTAAGGAGTTAATGCTCTGTTTGGCTCCCACACAGGTGTTTCAGATGAAGTAAGGAGGCAGGCCAGGGAACTGAAGGCCCAATCAGGAAATGGTCAATAAAGCAGCTGACAGACTCAGCCAGAAGTCTGAATGCTGGCTCTGGTGTTAGAAGGCTGCTGTGCAGTGAAGGTGGGTTACTCTGGTATGAGGTGTTTGCCTGAAGGCTGAAAACTGAAGCTTTGGTGAAAACTCTTAGTGAGTGAAAGGTTTGTTTTGCCACGGAGCTAGCTGACCCTGCCTGTTTGCACCACTGGGTATTTTCTGGGGTAATGTTCTATGGAGCTTTAATTGCTCTAGTCTTAAGTGACAGCTGAAATCTCAGCTCCCCCTCACAGCTCCCTCCTTTCCAGTTTTATTGGCTTTTTAAATCTCTCCCCCCCGCCCCATCCAACTAGGGAATTGCATGTCACTAGACCCTCCTCCTCCAGAATCAGCCTGTAATGAACAAGTGCCAGCCCTGCACCACCCCATGGCCCTCCAGCCTGGCATCAGTTCAGTGTAGTTTTCATTGATACCACTGTGTTACCATGGAGAAGGTAAATTACGTCAAAACACCCCCTCTGCTAAGGTGAGGTTTGGGTTTGACTGTGTGGCACCTGCTTCCTCCTTGAAATGGGGGAGGAGGGGAACGGCCATGGATGCTGGGCACCCAACTGGGGCCTGATGCCAGATGGGCTGAGCAGCCCCCGTGCTTGCGGAAGCCGGTGGGGGTCCAGGAGGGACCGGTCCAGTCCTGGGGGGCTGTGACCCCTTGGTCTCATGGGGGGGGGGTGGCGTAGCGAGGGGGTGCTGGGGGCTGCTACCAGCAGGGGGTCTGGTCCTGCCTGGCCTTACAGGGTGACCGGGTTGGGCGGGAGGCGGGAGGGTCCCGCGCCCTGCTGCACCCCGGGGCGCTGGCCTGAGCCGGGCGCTAGGGGGTGCCTGAGCCGGGGGCGGGCTCCGCGCCAGGCCCGGCAGCTCCCAGCGCGCCTCTCACTCTCCCGGGCCAGGCCCGCGGTGCAAACACCCCCTGACCCCGCCCCCTATGACATCAACCCAGGGGGCTCCGCGCTGTTGTGCCGTTTACAGGCCGGTCGCCATGGGGACGGGGGGGGGCGGGGCGGCCCTGCCCCGCCCCCCACGCCGAGGTGCCCCGACGAGCACGTCATCGGCAGCCAATCCCGGCCGCGCGCGGTGACCTCATCGGGCTGGCGCTGGGTATTTAAGGCGGCGCGGGGCGCCTCCCCCGACGCGTGTGTGTGTGCGAGAGCGCGGAGCGGAGCGCGGGCAGCGCCCGGGGCCGGAGCGGGACCGACCCCCAACGCCCGGGGCCGCCGCAGCTCGACCGGGACCGCCCCCCCGGGCACCTCCACCGGGACCGGCCCCCCCTGCCCCCCCAGCCGGCGCCCCGCGGGCGCAGCAGCCCGGCGCCCCGCGGCCGGCGGGGGAGGATGGAAACACCCTTCTACCATGACGATGTGTTGAGCGGCTTCGGCAGCGGCTCGGCCCCGTCCCGCGGCAGCAGCGGCCTCCCCCGGCCCTTCCCCGGCGGCAGCATGATGAAGAAGGACGGGCTCGGGCTCCGCGACCAGGGGGTGGCCGGCCTGAAGGCGCCCGGGCCGCCGCTCCACCCGCTGCGGGGCGCGGCCGGCGGCGGCGGGGGCGAGGGCCCGGGCCCGGCGCTGCTGAGCCCCGCCGAGCTGGGGCTGCTGAAGCTGGGCTCGCCCGAGCTCGAGCGGCTCATCATCCAGTCCAACGGGCTGGTGACCACCACGCCGACCAGCGGCCAGTTCCTCTACCCCAAGGCGGCGGCCAGCGAGGAGCAGGAGTTCGCCGAGGGCTTCGTCAAGGCGCTGGAGGACCTGCACAAGCAGAACCAGCTGGGGGCGGGCGGCGGCGGCGCCGTCGGGGGCCCGCCCGGGGACCTGCCCCCCGCCGCCAGCCTGGCCCCGCCGCCGCCCGCCGAGCCGCCGGTCTACGCCAACCTGAGCAGCTACCCCGGCCCGGCGGTGAGCTACGCCGCCGAGAGCGTGCCCTACCCGCCGCCGCCCGGGCTGGGGGGCGCCGCGCCGCACCCGCGCCTCCAGCCGCCGCCGCCGCTCAAGGACGAGCCGCAGATCGTGCCCGAGGCGCCCAGCTTCGGCGAGAGCCCGCCGCTGTCGCCCATCGACATGGACACGCAGGAGCGCATCAAGGCGGAGCGCAAGCGGCTGCGGAACCGCATCGCCGCCTCCAAGTGCCGCAAGCGGAAGCTGGAGCGCATCTCGCGGCTGGAGGAGAAGGTGAAGAGCCTCAAGAGCCAGAACACGGAGCTCGCCTCCACCGCCAGCCTGCTGCGGGAGCAGGTGGCGCAGCTCAAGCAGAAGGTGCTGAGCCACGTCAACAGCGGCTGCCAACTCCTGCCGCAGCAGCACCAGGTGCCGGCCTATTGAGCGCCCGGGCCGGGGCGCCGGACTGAGCCCGCGGGCGCTACGCCGGACTGAGCCCGCGGGCG